AAAAAAGAGCTTCCCCTAGGGGTCTTTTATAACCTCCTTAATAAAGGGAATAAAATTTCTTCGCTAAAAGCTTAGAAATATCTAGCTTATATTTTCTCTTAGCCTTATTATTAGCCTAAGATTAATTCTAAATATATTCTACCTTATTAATAATATCCCTAGCTTTATCTAAGGGCTATTTAATCTATTTAAGCTCTTTTTTAACCCTTAGTATTAAGTAATAAAAGAAATAATAAGTAATACCCTTATTTTCTTCTTATTTTATTAATAATATATTATAAAGGGTATATTATTACGCGAAGTATTATAAAGGTATTTTTTCTTTCCCCTATATAATAACTATAAGTTAATCTCTTATTTATTATTCTTATAGTTCTAGATTAATATATTATCTCTATATAAATATAAAATATTTTTCCTAAGAAGGGGGATCTATTAATAAGCCTATAATATATATCTTTTATTTTATCTAGAGAATATAACTAAGCTTAATTATAAATTATTTAATTTATTATTAAGCTATTATATTAAGCCTTATTTAATTACTAATTTTAATAGCCTTAATCTAATTATTAACCTTAAGCACGCTAATATATTTAATTAAATACTTATAATTATATATTAAGGGCTTTTTATAATCCTTTTAATAAATTAATACTAAATAATTAATAAATTATATTAATATTTAATTTTATTATAATAATTTATTTAAGATTACCTATTATTATTCTTATTTAATTTATTAATAATATTATTACTCCTTTTTTTATAACCTATATAATTTCCCTAAGGATAATAAGCTTCCTAAGGATTCTAATAATAAATTTATTCTCCTTTAGCATTATATCGGCGATATATATTCTTCCCTAGGCATTATATATAGCATAGGTAATATATACTTCTTAAAGGGTATTATAGCTAGGGTATAAGCCCTTAGCTATTATTATTTACCTCTAAGTAAGTAAATAATCTCTTTTAATTACCTTAATAAATAGCCTCTATATTCTCGCGGAGTTATTAGAAAAATATCTATAAGAGGGATTATAATTTATTCTTTAGTTTCTTAAATTAGTTATTTAAAGTTTTTAATATTTATATAACTTATAGCCTCTAGTCCTATATCTATGCCAATAAATAATATAATTATTTACCTCTCTTATTATAGCCCTATTAAGTTATTTTTATTAATTTATCGCTAAGCTATTAGCTATTATATAATAGGGGTATTTTTATTAGACCTATTTATCTTAATAATATATTAATCTTTTATTTTAATAGAAATTAAAAAATTATAAAGGTATAGGCCTAATAGGCATAATTAGGATAATATTAGAGATAAAAAGGTAGGTTTTATATATTAATATAACTTTAATTTATTAAAGCCTCTATAAGTCTTTAGCGAGAAAAGCTTTATATAGCCTAAGGCCTATAAAATAATCCAAGGATTCTCTAACCTACCGGCAATAGCTAGCATAGCCTAAATACTCTTATATATTTATAATAAGTTTCTCCTTACTTAAATAATTATTAGCCTAGGCAATTAGCTTTATATAAAGCTTAAAGAAAAGGCTTTTAATAATGCCTTCTAGGGCATTATATAGAAAAAATAGCTATAAAATAATAACTAAAAGATTATATTAGTAATCTTTAGTTATAAGATTTTTCTTTTACTTAGCCTTTTTTTAAATAATAATAATTATAATAATTAATTTAATTAAATTAAAGTAAAGCTCTTTAAGCTAAAGAGCCTTTAATATAAGGTTAAGTAAAATAAAATATTTAATTAGCCTAAAGCGCTATTTTTTTACGCTTTTAATAATATAGCGCTAAGCTAATTATATAATAAATAGCTTATAATATTAATTCTCGCCTAGAATATTATTTATGCCTCGTAATATATATAATAAATCATATTAAAGAGATATTATTATAGCTATAAACTAGCTATAGATCTAGAAGAGAAATATTAGGTTATAGAGGTAATCGGCGTTATAGATCTTAGAGGTTAATATTAGAGTTCTATAAACCTAAAAGTTTAGCGCTAATTAGCGGCGCTAGACTTAATAATAAAAGAGAATATAGGTTTAATTTATTAAACTTATCTAATTAAATATATAATATATATATCTCGGCCTATATAAATAAGTAATAATAGTAATCTTAATAGTAATTTTAATAATAGATATAAAATATTATAAAACTCTTAATAAGATATAACTTATTTTATATAAATAACTTCAATTTTAGCTAAGTATTATATAAGTAAAATTAGGTATTTTATATAGAGAAATGGTTTTTTTCTTTTTTACTTATTAGTAGAGGGGTATTATATAATATATATATTATTTACCTTATGCCTAACTAAATCTAACTACTAGTTAGGTATAGAAGAATTACTAGTATATATATATATTAATATTAATCTAAGATAAGATAATATTTTTTTAATTAACCCTAGGTATTATTTTCTAATAATTTAACTAAAATCACTTAATATATATATATATATATATAACATATATAATAAGCATACAGCGCAGACAAGTATGCGGCGCAAAAATCCCCTAACTTTTCCTTTTATCTAATTAATTAATTCTTAAGTATTTAAGATGCTATAATTAAATATAGAGGCAAGAACGCTTCTTACCCTTCTTGCCCTTTAAAATAACCCGAAACTAAGTATCTAACGTGCTATAATAATCTATAAGATTAAGGAGCAAAGGCTCCATCGCCGACGGAATAGCATTCAATCTTGAGTTAATTAGATCCCTAAATCACGCAATATCACATATTACCACTAGGCTTATGCGACTAGATATAAGACATAGCTTATACTTTAGGGTCATATATCTAGTTTTATATCTAACTTATTATATTAAAGATTTTAATCTTAATAATATAAGTTTAAATAACTCTACCTAAATATATAGCTATTTAATTTCTTTTATTCTTTAGATAATTCTTATTAATTAATTAGGGCTATTAATAATCCCTATAGAGCTAATTATTTAATACTTATCTATAAAAATATAGTAATACATAGGTAGGTATATTACCTAAGATAAGCTTTAAGTTTATTCGATGGAAATCTGAATGCTCTTCTTAAATTTGGTTAAGATAATATAGGAAAGACAATCGAGGAGTTATAACAAGAAGCATCGAGATAGTTACCAGTAATCCTTCGAGCTGGAGCACCATCACTCCCGAACTCAACTATATATCCACTATGTTTCCCTTCTGAGTTAAAGGTCGGCCAATCCACAGTATACACCATGCCGGCCCCGCTCTTGAGAAAAGCGAGAAAGTAATCCTGCATAGTAGCAGACGTTTCGACCTCAGCTTGAGGAGTGTCGCCGACCATCTTCACATATGTCCCAAAGATCATGAGGAGATCTGTCCAGTGATAGGCACCCAGCCACGGTTTGGGGCTGATGTTGGAGTAGTTGCCTACATACCCATTAGTAAGATGAAGTGTTGTTAGGCATATAACCAAGACATACCAACATAAAAGTAACGGAAACTCTCTAATCCAGCAGACTCGCGCAGTTTAGAGTCGGACAAAGCGAAACAATTAAAAGCGCGGGCAACCTCGGCAGTATGAGTCAAGTTCGGCGAGGGCTCCAGTTCGGTCGCTGTGGTCGAGCGTATGGCAGGTCCTCGTGCCACAAGGTTTTTGGCATATCGATCAGATTTGTTGGAAAAGATGTATCTCTCGTCAGCTAAAACAGTGCGGCAAGTCAGCACAGACTTTTCCAGCCAACACCAGGTGTTACAGACCAATATAGTTTGCAAAGTCGACGCCTGGCTTCTTGTCGTATCTGTTGATGAATTCCTCGATTTGTACCCAAGAAATCTGCCGCATGCACTCAAGCTCCGCTTCATAGTCATCACCGTAGTTGCAGCCGAGACTCTTAGCTACAACGTCAAAGTCGGCATAGGGATCCGGGATTTCGGTAGTGTTGACGATGTAATTTGGGCCATTGGAAATGATGCCAAACTTGGCAACGAGTGGTTTTTCCCAAAACGCCGTGGTATACATGTCGACCAATCTAGCGCCTTGGGATTCTCCCCACAACTGTAGATACATGTTAGAAGAATCGAGTCATGCTAAACTTTTGGAGATGACTAACAAGAATATTGTCTTTGGCTCCTCCAAAATACTCAATGTTCTCGTGTACCCATTCGACAGCAGCTCTCACGTCGAGCAAGGTCAACGACGTTTCTTTCAAAGCACGGGATTTGGGGTCTGGTAACAAATTAGCTCGCCTGCAACTAAATCATGCATTGAATTAAACCAGCTGAGGCTTCTTACTTCCAAATATGTTTACACGGTAGTTAATGGTGACAACTATATGCTCCTGAGAGCGTGATACCCACTGCTCCGGCAGCTGCGAGGGCACATTGATCCCACCAATGAGACCACCGCCACCTGTGACAAATAAGGCAACAGGAAGCTGGGATGACTTGTTCGCGTACGAAGGAGTCCACACGGCGAGGGTGAGGCAGTCTTCAGACGAGGACCACGCAACAGCACCCTGATCACGCCGCTCGCCCAGACTCATTAACGGGTTCGGCGGTGCGTACTGGTTCCAGAAGACGTGCTGCGAGGAGACATACTGTGGACAGGCTACGAGTGGGGTTCTGTTTAGCGACACAGATCTAACGAGAGCTCGATAGGGATCAATTCAACGTACCAGGGCCGATGTGAGTGGAATCGAAGAGTTTAGATGAGCGGGGGAGCTTCTGGGGTGGCTCAAATCGAAGATCACTGATTGGCGGCTATTGGGAGTAAGTAGGCGATGAACGTAGGCAATGAAGACCAGGTGCAAGAAAAGACATAGTACTGGTGATGGCTTATGGGGCTTATTTCTTCGCGTACCTGGGCAAAAGGGATGCGCAGGAACTGGCGCACGTTGGGATATGTATCATTATACATTCCGATAAAGGTTCCTGTGTTCGTTTCAACAGTGAGATTATCCCAGCCATGGCGTATGGAACGTGGCTGCTGATGGCTTAGATCCGCAAGATATGCGTCAAACTGTTTTGCCCAGGCGATGACCCACAACCACAACGCCGCCAGCAAGGTGTAGGATTTCATGGTGAAAAGAATTGATCAGAAATCAAGAGATGTGTTTTAAGCTTCTCGGTTCACGAATGATCATCCTACAAAGGACCGCCAGGGTGATATAACGGTGTCTCTGTTCAACGTCCTGAACGGATCCACCCCCAGCCTTGCTAATTCCCCCGCAATACCGAGTCGACGGCCCATGACCACCTCCACGAGAGTTTTCGGTCCGAATATATAGGCTAAGCCTGAAAATGTTTGGAGGAAGTTTTGGTGCTAGGGGTAGTTCAGTCGTGATACGGGCCAATATCGGTGTTACTAGTGCAACAGATCAGCATAATGTAGCCATGGTCTTATTAGCACCGCTTCCCAAATCGATTTTGTCTGGACCATGCTCTGATCTAGTCGTGTGGTCTGGCCAAACGGCCCGTTTATTAGTCTGTTCGTTTATAAAAGTAGTTCCGCGGAGCGGTTATATCGGGTACAGCGGCTACAAGGCCGCCACAGAAATCGAACCCCATGTCCAAGCCCCAGTTCATGCGCATGATTGTGGAAAGTTTGAGTAGCTCGTAAAAGATGTCTCCGCGGAGCAAGGACTTAGTTTTGGCACCCGACCTGGGGTATTGATGCGCCAGGTACATGCGAAGGACTTGGAAGAGGTTGAAGAAGTTGAGGATGTATATAGGATTAGTACGACCAAAACATTCACAAGTCTGGGCAACTTGTTACTCCCGGTCTTCATCTTTAGAACACTGAGAATGAAGTTTATTACTACTGTTCTCAGTCCTGGGGCTTTACTGGCATCAGCATTGATCCTTCCAACTGCCCCAGGTCCTACTTCTGATCATGGACCCCCTACTGTCAACTTATCCAATGGCACATACAGAGGCATCTACAACCGACATTACCATCAAGACTTCTTTCTCGGTATGCCATACGCCAAATCTCCCGTCCATGATCTCCGACTGCGGCCCCCACAGCCTCTCAACAGCACCTGGACAGATGTCCAGGAAGCGACGGAATACTCACCGTCGTGTATTGGCTACGGAAGCGACACTTGGGTCCTGGGCAATCATGTGTCTGAAGATTGTCTGACTATCAACGTCGTTCGCCCAGCCGGCTTACCTGTTGGTGCCAAACTCCCAGTTGCTGTCTGGATCCATGGTGGTGGCTGGGTGAACGGTGGAAGTTCGGACCCCCGATACAATCTCTCGTTCATCGTCGAACAATCTGTCAGGAAAGGCATGCCCATCATTGCCGCGAGCATGAATTATCGTCTCCACGCCTGGGGATTTCTTCACAGCGCCGAGCTTGCTGCCGAAGGATCAACAAACCTTGGTTACCGAGATCAACGACTGGCCCTACACTGGCTCAAGGAAAACATTGCTGCTTTCGGCGGAAATCCAGAACGGGTCACTATCTGGGGCGAGAGTTCCGGAGCTTTCTCTGTTGGGTCCCAGCTCATCGCATACGGGGGTCGAGACGACAAGCTCTTCAGTGCGGCCATCCTCCAAAGTGGATCACCTTTGACCTTTGGGCTCAAACCTCAGACCTCAAAGACTTGGGAGCCATATTGGACTAAGCTCCTGCATACTACAAATTGCTCTGGAGCAGAGCCACTTGCATGTCTGAGAAAAATCTCAACAAAGGAACTCAGCGCGGTTTTTAACAGCTCGTTTGCTTCGCCGCCAGGTTGGGGCCAGGTGATTGATGCCGACTTCATCACGGCAAGCGGAAGCTCACTACTGAAGCAGGGCAAATTTGTCAAGGTGCCTATTGTTATTGGGACCAACTTTGACGAGGGCACGGAGTTTGCTCCTCAAGGAATCAACACAACGGCTCAGTTCGCCCAATACGTCAGATCTGCTGGTGTTTCCAAACAAGCAGTCCGCACCGTCGAGAGGTTGTACTCTGATGACCCTACAGTTGGCATACCAGCTACACTGAAGAGCAGACCTGAAAGAGCCCTTGCGCACCTCGGAAAGCAATTCAAGCGTGTTGCTGCCTTCAGTGGTGATGTTTATCAGCATGCTGGTCGAAGATTTACGACAATGTCGTGGGCTAGACGGCATGTGTCTGTGTGGAGCTACCACTGGAATGTTCTCGTTGAGAATGTTTCACCAGCCAGGGGCGCAGGCCACTTCCAAGAGGTTGTATTTGTTTTTGATAATATCAACGGTCAAGGCTATGAAACCGTCATCTCCAAAAACCCAATGGCTGGAAAACCCGCCAAGTTGGTCCAGCTGGCGGATGTTATGTCGACAGCTTGGATTAGCTTTATTGTTAATCGGAACCCCGTTAGCCATGGTAAGAGTGATCTGCTCGCGTGTATTTGTTGAGCTGACCAGTAGCTTTGATGTAGCTCAATCTCTTACCTGGCCTGAATATCGAGTTGGGCGTGAGAGAAATCTGGTATTTGATGTGAACGTAACAGGGTTGGCTCATAGCGAGTCGGATACATTCCGCCAGAGACAAATTGCGTATATTATGGACAATCTGTATTGAACTGGAAACTTGTCGTTTTCCTTTACTTGGACCTTATCAACGAGACACGGATTTAGCTACTGAAAGAATAGGAAATAGTCTGGCCAAATCAGCCGGAGCAAATGGGCAGTCCGAGGTGCCCAGATGGACTGATTAGAGCATCAAGTGCGCTGACAGAAAAGCTGACGACATGAACGTGATTCCTTCTCCCAGACAGTGGTTGAATCTGACCTGACGCGGACTCTGCCCGAGCCATGACTAAGTAGGAGCCAAATGGAAGATCCAATTCTATCTTCCATTTCTGCCAGCTGAAGTCTTTCCTTGTTTCAACTTCAGTTGCGGTCCAGTTTTCACCGTCATCAAAAGAAATGTGAACATTTGTCACCGCTTCAAAACACCACGCCCAACCCTCTATCGCCACTTTTGGTTCCACGAGTACGGCCTCAGGTTCAGGCCGCACAATGATTGAGTTGACTTCGGCTTCCCAAACCGGCCGTTTATTTATCCCTTCGGGGTCTCCGGGATCAATTTCGTTATAGAAAGTCGTGGTATATGGTCCTTCTGCCCTTCTGTCTTCCAACGTCAACCGGCAAAGCCATTTCGTAGAGTTCGTGCCAAACCACCCGGGAACGACGAGCCTAACTGGGCCTCCCCGCTCTTTCGTTAGCGGCTCCCCGTTCATCATATAGGCTACCAGAACTTCTGCACTTTGGGCTTTGTCCAATGGTAGGTCTTTTTGGTAGCGATCTGCTGTAACACCATGGAAGCTTCCATGCTCGAGTCCATCTGACCATACAAAACGAGCCTCGGGGAGCGGTGAAGCAAGCAATAAAAGGGATGCAAGAGGGACACCTGTCCAGACAACGTTCCCTATACGCCATACTGCCTCCACTGGAGGCTTGATTGGGCTACCGTAGCATTCGTGAAACGATGTAATCGATTTCTGTGGTAGGCGTTTAAGCTGATCCAGTGAAAGTGCGAAGGGATTTTTCACTAGTCCAGTGACTATCAGGGTCCATTTGTGAGGGTCCACGACCGCCGCTCCCATGTGGATAGTATGGAAGAGTAGGTCGTCCGGCGTGATGAAGTCGTTCATTATATGTGGTTTGGGAGGATGCCGTATATAAAATCCACGAGGGCTAATGGCAACAAGAGCATGGCGCTCATTGCCCTCTGCCGGCACGGAGGATATGTCGTGGTTTTCCAGCGGCGTCATGATGGTGTTCGATTCTGATTGGTTGCATAGCATTGTGTATAAATGCGCTGGGGATGGATTCATGTACTGACTGATTGGCGACGAGGAGATGCCTCATGCGCTGGCTTTATGGCGACAGGCTTGGCCACTCCTATATCCACTTGTGAAAGTCTGGAACGCCCGGCTGAGTTGCACGCCACAATTCAAGGTTTGGATTCTCCACTTTTCAAGTGCTCGGTGTGTTGACGGGTTGCAAAAGTGCGTACCGAACCTAGAACGAACCCGATCCGGACACTTCCGGCTCTGCCTCAGGGTATATAGCGCAACATTGAAACATCCAAGTAAAGATCTCGCCCACTCGACGATGTACTTTCTACAGATGCACTTATTGCATAGCTCTCTTTAGCAGTTTCTTATTCAACATGAAGCTCTCCGGTCGTGGCCAAGCGACAGCATCCAACAAAGGCGGATCCCTCCTGTGGGAAGTGACGGCAAACCTTTGGAACGCTACAACCAACCCTTCAGGCTACGTAAGCTTGGGTATGGCAGAAAATGTGCTTATGCAAGATGAGCTGTTGCAGCACATCACTGACAACACCTCCCTTCAGCCGCAAGCTTTAACCTATGGCGACGGTACAACGGGATCAAAACGGTTAAAGCTTGCCCTTACCAATTTCCTCAACAAACATTTAAATCCTCACACGGAAATCGACTTGAACCACATCACCATTACCAACGGCTGTAGCGCAGCTATCGAACATATTGCCTGGGCAGTTGGGGATCATGGAGATGGTTTCCTCATCACCAGGCCTTTCTTTCGCGCCTTTATTCCAACCTTCGGCCTTCGCGTTGATACAGAGGTGATACAGGTGCCATGCCATGGTGTCGACCCTTTCTGCGAGGATGTCGTCGAAAAGTACGAGGCCAAACTGCAAGAAGCCGAAGCACAAGGAAAAAAGATTGCTGGCATTCTTCTCTGCAACCCGCATAACCCCCTCGGGCGCTGTTATCCTGAGGGTACCTTGGTTCGACTCATGGAATTTTGTCAGAAACACCAACTTCACTTGATTAGCGACGAAGTCTACGCAATGTCAACTTGGACAAACGATGAGTCACCAACTACGCCGTTCACCTCTTGTCTATCCATAGACCATACAGGAATCATCGACCCGTCTCTGGTACACGTGGTGTGGGGAGTCTCGAAAGATTTTGGATCCAACGGCATCCGACTCGGAAGCATTATTTCCCAGAGCAATCCTCTGTTGCACAATGCACTTGTTCCAGCAGCTTTGTACAGCATGTGTTCTTCCCTCGCTGAACACGCTTTTGCGAATGTATTTGAAGACGATGCTTGGGTTGATAGCTACCTGGCCAAAAACAGGGCAAAACTCGCCGAGCATTATAGGCTAATAACATCATGGGCAACAGAGCATAACATCCATTACGCAAGGGGATCAAATGCGGGCTTTTTCTTGTGGGTCAATCTTGGAAAGGCCTACTGCCGAAACCATCCTGAACAGGAGCACCTGCAAGCTGAGGATCGGGTAATGAAGCTACTCCTCGAGCGGAAAGTCTTTGTAGCTCCTGGAGCAAGCTTTGGAGCTGAAGGCAGTGGATGGTTCAGACTTGTCTTTTCAGTTGACAAGACAACTCTCTTAGAAGGGCTTACTAGAATTAATAGCATTTTACAGTAGGGACTTTTTCAGAATATATAATTAATAATTTCTGGAATATTAACATGCATAATTGTCACGGCCATGATATAGTCGAAGGCGGTAACGCTAGGTAGGAAACCGACCTTACTACGTTAGCTAATCATAGGGAAGGAAGATATATAAGTCGAATAAAATTAGTTTAATTTCCCTCGATTATATAAGTCGAATAGGGATAACTTAACTTAACTTAACTATATTTAACTTAAATACTAGATAGTATATAATAAATACTCTTTAGTACTTCTTTATATATTAGCTACCTTAGCTATTAATATAACTTAGTTATACTTAATACCTTTAAGTATATTATTAGATATAATATTATATTACCTTTTAAGGCTATATAATATAATTTAATATTAATATAAACCTATATAATTAATTTATCCCTTAAGAATCCTATAATTATTATAGATTAATAGCTCTTATTTATTAGATTACTTATATTACTTTAAATAATACTAAATATAATAGCTACTTAGGCTATTCTTAGTATTAATTATTAATAGGTCTTACTTATTAATTATTTACTTATTCTTATTATATTAGCTTAGGCTAATCCTAATAATAATAAAGAAATAAATAATAATAATAAAGAAATAAATAATAATAATAAAGAAATTAAATAACTCTAAGCTTAAGTTATAATAATATTTATTAAAATAGATAAGCTTAGGGGACTTATTAATTATATAGCCGCTAATTAATAAGTCTAGAGTTAATAATATTAAGATAATATCTAGCTTATTAATAATATAATTATTATAACTATTAAGAATAAGGATATTAGAGAAATCTTAAAGTTAGAATTATTAAAGAAGTTTAATAATATTATATATAAATTATTTATTTTTCTTATATAATTATATACTTTTATAATATATTACTTAATTTAATTTAAATAAAAATCTAGCTATATTTAATATATTATAAGATAATTTATTAAATAACGTACTTGATAAGCAAGTGAGCCAGTCAAGCAAGTGTGCCACTTTCCCCTCCCCCTCTAGATAGAAATCGCAATAAAAACACCATAAACCATTTAATCAATTAAAACTACTCACTATACCCTTCCCCAGATGTCTCAATCACTACCTGACAGGTCCTTGCATTATGGCCGGGCTTGCCGCATACACCACAGCGCCGAACACCCGGTCCGACCGACCTTCCTCGACCACCACTCCTCGACGATTCGGCCACTACCTGCGCATCCACATCCATTTGATCAATTGCTTGCCTTCCTTCTTCTACCGTCATTACCCCTCTTTTCTGCAGTCTAGTCCTTTTTGCCCTCCGCCGCCGGCTTAGTATCTTATTTGCCTCTCGAAGGTCTTTGTTCTCAGCGGTCAATAAGGCAACCCGATGCATAACAGCCTTTGTTCCCTTCGCAAGAGACTGTAGAGCCTCTAAAATTGACTCTGGGGAGCTACTTTGATGCCTTCTGATCCGCCTTTCGAGGTATTCAGACTGAGATCCGGCCTCAATCACGGTCTTTGGGGTCCTTGAAGCCCAAGGGGTCGACGGCTCAGCTGCCTCCTCA